ACTCATGTTTACCATGTTTCCTGAGGGAATAAATGAAGAGAGGTGTAGCTTTTTTCTTAAAGACTTCAACTAGACGAGTGGCCCCTTGGTGAACATTAGAGGGATTACGCATTCAAACACACTTTAGCATTGGTTTCATTCTTCAATGTCTGGTGTGACTGAGACACTTTTCTTTATTTGATCCCTTCATCCACACTGATGCAAAATACATGAAATGTTTCTCAGTGCATAATACTCCAGTGAGGAAGTCTATCTGTGCCATAAGCATTTAAAGAGAAGTACTTCAGTAAAAGTATTGATACTATTCTACATTTTGGGGGAATGCTTGCCGTGACATACCGTCTCCGGCCTTAAAAGGGCTCTGAGTTCACTTAGTGCACTCGGCCTTGTTGGGACCCGCAGTGTCAGCGCGACGTGGCTGCAGCTTAAAGTGGATCGCCGTGAAGAAGTGATTGATTGATCCTGCACCCGCGTTCTATTTCTGCTGCTCCCCGGGGTTCTCGTATCTCCGAGTATCTCTTAATTATCTGAAGAGGTAAGCTGTGTTACGTTACATCTAAAGTGCGCGAGGTGTGGTGGACACGGCGGAACACGCAGCGACACTACACATCTTTAAGGGCAAAGCCTCACAAACACATCCAGCGTGCACAGAATGGATCAGAACCCAACGGGGGCATCTACTCCTCCGGAGTTTAGGTTGCACAGTAAGCTCCTCACGCGTGAACAAAAGCCCCCCCCACGGGTAAAGGTTGCGCTCATTAAGCGTGACCTTTCCCATTCTTTGCTGCTTTTTACGCGGATACAGACACGCGAGCCCAGTGAATCGGTCGGCCCCCGCGCCTTTAGAGAATGCATCTACCTTCTCGTTGGAAATCCCTCCTGCTGCACATTTCTGTTACAGGAAAAAGGTTGTAGGACTCGGCACAGGTTCAAACTTTAGCTTGATGGTTAAAACACTGAAAATATCACGGAGAATAAATCCCACAGCTACTATGGTGCAAAGGTCTAAAGCGACTGGCGCCTTTACGCTTACAGCAAACACAGATAAGGATACAACAACTACTCCGTAGTATTTACAAGGACATTTAACAGTGGAACTATTTGAAACACTCTTTAGGACACAACACAGCGGAGGGACATTTTATTCGTTTCAGTGCAGGAGAGGAAGGAAGCTTATTAATAAACCTCCCCTGTTTAAACTAAATTTGACATAATCACTCTTCAAGTGATGCGGAAATGATGTTTTATTTTTATATATTCATCTCCTGTTGGGCTTTTTGTTACAGTAAGTTTCCTGCTTGAGATTAAATGTCCTGATGCTGCTTCATCTCATGTTCCAATGAGGCTCCTTTTAATTCTACCAAAGACTGAGGCCTTCAGCGCTTTCCAAAGGCTCCTCTGTGCTCCTAAAATACCCACAATCCTTTGCACGGATGCATTTCTCGTCCCCCGAACTTTAATTTCATTACTCTCATCCTGAAGAATGAGAGTATTTTACCGAAGGAATCGTGCTTGTTATTCCACAGAGTCTCTGGGCTTTGAGGAAAGCATTTGTGTCACTGTTGGTTTTATAAGACGTTTTGTTTCCCAGTAGCCCGCCAGCTGCACTTTGTACCTTTTTTAAAGTATTTCTTGGTCAAAGTAGCTTTATTTAATCCGCGCTCGGGATTTGGGTCTTTGCTGCTTGTGCTGCTTCAGCCACAAGAAGAATCATACATTTCCATTCCGTCTTTGTTCCCGGCAAGAGGAAAGTGTCTCGGACCACGCTGAATCAGATAAATTGATTGACAAATTGTATCAAATTTTTCCGATTTCCAAAAAGAATAACCGTTGCTCCTCATTGTGCGCCCTGGACCCCGGCAGCCACGTCAGCGCGTAGTGTGAACTCCAGTGGTGGACGGCCGAGGGTCAGAATAGATCCTGTATATTTAGCCGCGATGAGATCAAAGCCTTTCATCCCACTCTTTCAGCCTCTATAATGAGGGGGGGGGATTACGTTACGGTAGTCGGCATGTTCTGCTGAATTAAATGAAGGACAAACTGATCTGTGTTACGTGTTGACGGGAAGAGAAAATTCACCGGGTTTATTTAGAGAGCGATGCAGTTCAATGTTGTTCATGCTGCTGTTAGCGAGGGACTCCAAAAACACAGGGTGGGACATTTCCCATAATGCAACAGAGCGTTTTGTAGACGTTTTATGAACCTGCACTCCGAGCTCAGGCTGATGACCCGGGTGACATCATGTGGGTCAGTAAGCGGGATGCAGGTATCAGGCTGCGACTCCCCACGCACACGCCGCTGTCGTGTGTGACAGCGAACAAAATGAAACGGCTGTTAACGCACACTTATCGTAATAACGACATGAATGAATCTCAATCAGCCGTTGTGTCGTCGCCGTGAGCCGTGTAGATGTGTGCTGTTCCTTTGCAGCCAACAAGACAATAGTTAGTTGATTTGTTCAAATGCATTTTTGTGCATTGATTCCCATTTGAAAGCGGTGTTATTATTCAAATAGGACGATGAAAGAAACCGCAGGACAAAAAGGACGTGAGCAGTGAGTGAACCTGTCAATCAATCCCGTTCTCCAGTCAGTGCTCTAGCGGGGAACGACTGAATCCTCAGACATTTTCTGACCAAGTACATGTTCCAGAACTCCGGCGTAAGTCTTCGTAATCGGCAAACAACATTACATCCGTCTCCATGTGAACAACTCGCGCCTCTGCGCCTCCTCCAGCGGCTGGAGCGAGTAATCTCCGGTACAGTGGGCTGGCCCCTGGGACGGGGGGTTACCCTCCTTGTATTATTACCCCGGTATCGGCTCCCTTGAAGCTATTCGGTGATCCTATGCGACCCCCCCCCTCCCCCCTTCCTCCCCCAGGGAGCTGGCAGGGTGACACTGTCCTTCCACTGGTGTGTAAACTCAATCAGGAAAGCGCTCCACTGCTCCACAGCAGGCTGACTTACTGCCGCTGTGTGTGTGGCCTTGTATGGACACACGGGCCCCCCCCGTTGGGGGGACAAACACGGCCCCTTTCAGACGCCACTTTAGGTCTCCGTTCTTGGTGTGCAGCGCCAAAGAGAGCTGCAAAAGCAGGTTATAAAGTGCCATATATTGTGATAAAAATGTTAGGATAACATATGTGAATCACACTAGATCTTATTTAACGTATAGTTAATAAAAGCAGCATATGATAGAATTGGTGCGGCATAATTAATACTGCTCATTTGATCAGAGGGAGCAGGGAGGAGTGTATGCCGCTAAACGGTGGGGTCAGATGGATGGAATTCAAATGAGAGGAATGAAGTCAGAGATTAGATGACACAGATTGCATCATCAAACATTTACTTTGTCATTGAAGCAGTTGTGACAACAAGTAAATAGACGGCGGCAGAGGAAATGCACGCAGAGAGAAGCTGCCACACACTTTAGTTTATTTAATCCATCAATGGGAAACACTAATCGACGAGTGGAACAAGGTAAAAGGATGCGTGGAAGGAATACATTCTGAAATTCTGACTAATGATCGGGAAAACCGGAAAACCTTGATATTTTCTCTCCCAATGTTATCAACATAGATATCAAGACATCCCTGTTTACAGGCATCGTGTCTTGGGTAGTAATGACAGTGAGGTTGGGCAATTCAGAAGTGACTCCAATGAAATATTGTCCATAAAAATCTTTTAAAAAACCCCCACAAATAGATGGATGTGTAGATGGATGTTTGGTATATTTGGACTGGGGACACACTGCAGGCACCATGTAAGTAAAGACGTCAATATCAATACGGTGAAGGACACTAACAAATGTTCATGTATTCTATTTGCTTTTTTAATTAGGCTTCAATTGTGACATCATGTTTCTACTACGCTGTTAGAATGCGCCTCCACGTGTGTGTTACGATAGAAAGCAGAAGAGTGTTGTTGAAATACCGGAATAATAGAGAGAAGTTCGTGGCCGCGTTCTGTCTTCTTTTTGGCCATATCACACAGTTGTGTTATTCATCACACATTTGTCCTTATTTAGTTTTTTCGAGGGCGACACGAGTAAAAATGTCATTTGGCTTCTCATCTTCTTGGGCGAGAGCCTGGAGGAGCTAACATGGACAAAATATAATACGTAACGTGTAACCATGTTGCCGTGGTAACATGACGTGCAACGCGCTGTCCCGTATTCCCAGCCGCTGCGGGCCTCTCGTAGGGGACACTTGGCTACTGGGGGATGAAGGGTAGACACTCCTCAGGGAGACACACGGCAGCGTCCCTTCTGCTGCGTGTCTCTAAGTGTCTCTAAAAGCATGCAGGAGTCTCCACTTCTGCTAATCTCAACGCCGGATCGTCTGGGGAGTCCTCCAAATGCCAGATGCCGGTTGCTCCTGTCCCGGGCCCGGCTCTGCCCCCCCCCCCCCCCTCCCTCCCGTGTCTTTGGAATATGCTGATCATTCAAAAATCCAGTGTGATGCATACAGGCTCACCAGTCTTTGCGGGTGCGTGACAGCCAAATGAAAAGGAAATAGTCGAGCGGAGCAGAATTGATGAAGAATGAGCAGAGCTTTGGTCTCCTGTGAGTTGGTGAGATTGAGGCTGCGAGAGGGAAGGGGGGGGGTCCCGGCCTGTTGGGGGAGATGATCTCACACCCTCTGTTTAGAAGACCGGATCGACCGTTTTTCTTCAGATTAATGGAGCGCAGAAAAGAGATTTTTAAAATGCCTTTTCGAAAACCTGTTTAATGTGTCAACAAAATGGAATCATTTTTTTGACTAAAAGTTCTGAAAATGAATGTAAATGAGTACGATGAGTTGATGACATCACCCTATTTGCACATGAAAGCACTTACCTTGTGTGTGTGTGTGATACAATTTCTCATTGTAAGTAATGAACTACATGGGGAAGATTTTTGAATTTCTCACATTTTTGTTACCATCCTCCTTAATATAATTGACATCACGGGGATGATGATAGACTGAAACTGTGTGTGTGTGTGTGTGTGTGTGCGTGCACAGAGTCAGCCCCAGAGAGCAGTGTTCCTGCCCGAGTTCGCCCTCTCCCCTCAGGGCAGCTTCATGGAGGACGCTACAGAAGATCAGCTTCTGACCTACAAGTATGACGACCAGGTCAGTGGTTCTGCCGGGGAGGAGTGCTTCCTCCTACGGTCCATGCTATCATGGGGGGGGGGGTCAAACCCCTCACAAACAGTTTCCCTATCGTAGTCCATGTCGATGGAAACACACACACACACAACAAACTGGAGCGTAGCCAAAAGCACCACAAGATGAAACAATTAGAGAAGTCATCTACGTTTACGTTCTAACAATTGAACTTTTAGCACGTTTTCATGAATAAAGGTGAATATAATATAGTATTAAAACATTATACAAATCGAACCAAAAGTAATTAAACAGAAGGTAATACAATTAAAGATATAAAACATAAAGTAAATAAACCAGAAGACATATTGAGAGCATGTAAACAAGTCTATTTTTAATAGTAAAATCACTTTGTCATTAGCAGTTTCCCCGATGTGTGATATGTGTCAATTAAACAGCACCTTCAAATGTCTCCTTCAAACAGCTGGACCAAATCTACATTGCACCAGACGCTTGAACACACCACTCCAACTCATAACTGTAACGTAATTCAACTGTAACCAATACTCGCCCCATGTGAAGCACTTTGAATCGCCCCGTTGGTGAAATGTGCCAGACATTTCCATTGAAAAGAGCCTGAATGCAATCATTGAAGTTAAAGGAACCTCCCTGTGTCAATCCAAAGACTGACTTTTGATTGACACAGGGACTGACTGACTGACATTCCTGGATACAGCAACATTCCTGGTAATTGATATTACCCTCACACATAGCATTTAGCATTCTATGGGGCAAAAAGAACACAATCTAAAGGTTGATCACGTAGCTGACCTTCTGGGTTTTCAAAGTGGCTTTTGGCACTGTGAGTCATCTTGGTCTCCCGATTTATTCTCATGAACTTCTCTCCGCTTTGATGAGAAGGTGATGAGAAGCACTTCTCTAGTTTATATGCAACGCTGAAAATGAAACCTCTATGTTGTGTCTCAGCGCATCCATTTCTTCCCCTCTAGGTTTTTAATGAGGGAATTCTTTACCGGGGCAGAAATCGCGCTAAGAAGTTGAGAGCAGGTTGTGTTTTGGACTGATATCATACAAGTGAACCCTGTTTGGAGAGATTGTGCTTGTGATGAGTCGTCCTCTGGCCGTCTGCAGTGGTCAGCGTTGTTGTTTTCTTGCATCGAGGCGGCACAAAGGCTGAGGAGGACACTGGGCCTCTGTGAGCTGTATGCAATACGCTCTCCTTTCCTTCAGCCTTTTGAATTCAGAAAGAAACAGACTTGTCTTACCTTTCAGGGGAGATTGGGCTCACATTATGCAAGCCTATGTTATTGGAGTATAATGTCTAAGCTCAAAGGGATTCAGTTACATACAGGAGGATTCTGGGTACATCCAGCTGTGTTTACTGGAATATTTGTTGTTGCTTTAAATCATGGTTGGAAATGAATGCTCACTAGAATCATGGTTTTGTAACTCTATATGGACCCTGATCGGGCCCTATTCTGTTTCTCCAGTAACCCCATAGGATATTGTTAAAATGATGTAGTGATATGAGTAACCTGGATATGGGTACACATGTAGTCTGTCCTTCCATTAGTCCAGCAGATGCACAGGCCATCGATGCATCCAATATTGACGAACATTGAAAGTGTAACACACTGAAAAATACACTGCTTAGTGAACGGACCAATGTGGACAGCATGTAGACATGCTGCTATTTGATGTCACACTCTGCTTTGTTGCTACCGTTTTGGAGCCTTGAGTTTGGCATTTTGTACCTTTTTTTTTCTGGAGCCAGAATGACCACATTTGTGGCTGTGGACCAACTAGATACCTGTTAGTTGTCAGCTTGCACTATTTCTTTTCTTTATGCACTCTAAACACCAGGGACATATACAAAAGAAGAGTGTTAGCCCAGTACAGACAAACCAAACACAGCCTCTCGAGAGGGTAGTTCATGTCTGTGCGCTGAAGGCCACCATCGCTTCTCCACACGCTTGGAAAGGGAGGAATGAATCGAAGGGTATTCAGTCGGTTGCAATCTGCGGCCTCACCACTAGATGTCGCTGCATCTGCACACTGTAGCTTTGAACTAAACGACTGAGGAATCCTGAACATTGAACTTTGTCAATGTTAGAAATTGAACTAGTTCATTAAGAGATTTGTCATAATGCATATACCTTCGAATTGAGGAATTATTGTGTTTAGACCAACTGTGAAAGTATTTCACTGTAACTAAATAAGATTCTCGCCGTGCGCAGCGAGGAGTGACGCTTGTGTTGCTCGGGAGATATGTCAAGAGGGACAACGTAATTAGTAGAGTATCCGGTTCAATTAAAAAATAAAATATTTATTCTTTCTGTGGTGCGGCCGGGTACCAAATGGCACAGGGTGGTTGGGGACCACCATACACACTGTTTAGCTCACTGCCCGAAGCCCACCAGACTGGACACTGGGGTTAGATGAGTTTGTTGGAAATACTATAAAAATGCTCTGAATACTTAAATAAAAGCCAGAACTAACACATGCTGATTCTCAAATCAGGTAACATTATTATGAATGTGTTATTTAGTTATTTGCAGACAATTGCTCATATACTGTATTAGATCAATGCACTGAACAAAATGTCCTCCAGTCACACGAAAAGCCTGTATTAAAGCTACTTGAGGGCTTTTGACACTATACCCCCCCCCCCTTCCGTTGCACAGTGAGCTTCAGCTTCTTCCTTCTAGAGGGAGGTATGCAGTCGCATAGTGGTGAACAAACTATAGCAACAGTGCACAGATGCTATAGAAGCAACATGTTTGTATTTACTTATTTTATTTTGTGCTTACCAATTTGCAGCCTCTGGGACTTTTATCGTGCTTGTCCTGTTGCCTCCAAGTCTACCTACAAATAAAAGTATCAACAGATGAAAGGATCTAAATGCAGTATATGAGCATGGCGATCTGAACCCAACACCGCCGCTTCCTGCTTTCCCAAGCTGCCTGTGGAGATGCTCTCCGTTGAGGTAGAGCTAGTAAGCCTCTCCGCTGCTTGAAGTAGCAGCAATCAGTAAAAGTGGAAGTTGCTCCAATGCCCCAAAACCCCGGGGGTCCCAAACACTGCAGCTAAAAGATTTGCTTTGAGATTACGCTCGATTGGGTCACTCCAAAATGAACCAGTTCTGTGGATAAATGGAGACTGTAGGAGCCAGGTGTCGTTGGTGCCGCCTGGTACGGCCCTTTTCTTTACGTTAGTTGAGTCGCGTGGTGTTTGGTGTCAACGCGGATAAAGGTGTGTCCACAGTTTAGTTTGGGGAAATGGAAGGAGAGGGGGTGTGAGAGGGAGTCACATATTTTGTCGACCGTTAAAAGAATGTATAATGCACCAAAATTAAAACTAGAAAACCGCAGTAAGCGTCCGCAATTCACCTCCTCTACTCAGCCTCTTGGCGACACTGAACGAATTCACGATCGCGACACCTACAGAGGTATTTGTGTATTTTCTCTCACCGGTTTCCCTCTCCGGCCCATCCTGACAGAGGGATCCGTCCTCGGCCTCCCTAAGCTTTCTTCCTTTGTTGGGGGGAGCATCACCTTTGCTGATGGGCGGGCTCCGGGACAGGAGATGTTTTATATGAACAGATTGCAAAGATCTCTGAGGAAAATTTGGGACTTTGGGTTAGACAAAAATAATTGACTGAACTGAATTAAAATGTTTGTGCAGCTATATTTATTGTAAAGCTACTTAACGTGACCGGTTCAACCGGGATGTTTTATAGAGCCCACATTCATTGATTCTTTTAAATGAAAAGCTAAATTTGAAACATAATGCTTTCCAGAATACTGATTTAAGACCTTTATTATTGGGGAAATAATTAGTTTTACTAATCGCCCTCAAAACACATGGATCAATTTAAGAGTTTTATGAATGTACTTTGACATTAGTCGTTGTCAGATCACGTTATAATGAACTGACGGCTAACAAGGCCGCTGCCAATTTATTGAGACCCAAACAGCCGTCCAAAGTAAACTTTCCTCAGGGTTTGTTGAGTGCAACAGACAGGTCAACAGCATTGAAGCCCCACCGGCTGGAAACAAAGTGGACTAATGAGGCCTTCAGGGTCTTTATCAGAAAGTGTTGAGTTGGAAAGCTAAAAAAATCAACAAGCAATTGATACTATATATATATATATATATATATATATTGGAGTAATATATATATATATATATATATATATATATATATATATATATATATATATGATATTTCAATCGATGTATCCAATTACTCTTCATAATCAAAATTCAGATTATGGAAGAAAAATATGGATTGCAAAATATCTGGAAGACTTGAATGAGGTATGAAGGATGTTCAGAGCCTGGAACTTCTACTGTATAAACTACTGGTGCACATAATGCGTGTGAAAGTGCAACAGTGTTTTGCAGTAAAGCAACAGAGATGCTGTGGTACCGTAAATGTAAATGTGCGAAACTGTTTTCCTTTTGGACAGATTAAAACGACATATGTATTATATAATAATTGTAACAATAGTTATAGTAATGCTCTTAAATTTGAAATATGTTGATGGTATGTTAAAGATTCAATCAATTCTATCAAACGACCTTTATGTACATCTCTATCATAAGGTTAACAAAAGGAACGTTTCAGTTATTTAGTCACTCTCTTTCTTTTTGTCGATCTTTATTTGTCTGCCTAGGATTGGCGAGTGAAAGTGATTTAAAAGTGTGGCAAAGACCAAAAGGATCATCCAACCGCAAAATATGCCTGTAGGACCGAAGAGCTAATGCTGTTTAGTTTCTGCTTTGATACATTCTAATTAGTTTCTGCTAAATACCCCACTAACCCCTGAAATGATGTAAGATCAGGAAAGCCAAAGCAATGAACGAGGCCTCCTGTTTTCCTCCAATCCTTTAGTCTGGATTCAATCAGACGGAGGGAGAAGTGGCCTCCGTGTGTCACGATTGTGCCCGGGTTGAATAAATGCAACATGTGGGCATGTAGCGTGACCAGCTCTCGTCTGTCAG